GGCGGGTGCTTCTTTGTTGGGATTCGACTTTCGAGGCCGATTTTTTCCCTCTCTCTCTCTCTCTCTCTCTTCACAAATTGTATATTATATTATGGTTTTATGAAAAACAGTTACGGTAGTTTGTTCACTTCAATTTCATACTTCTTTTTAGTGATTTAATTTCAATTACATTTGCGTTTTCAAAAATAATAAATAAATAAATAATCAAGATAATTGACATATATCTCCGACGGATTGTGAGTTCTACCCCACTCCCACATGTTGTACTAAAAGAAAAAGTAATAAATAAAAATCAACTACATTCTCATACTCATTACTAATGAGTTTCATTTATTTATATAAAATATGGTTTTGTCGAGATTCAAATATAGTCTTATATTGATCAATAGTTCAACGATTAAAGGCACCTAAGTCTGACTAGAAGGTCGTGAATTCGAATCTTCTACCCTCACATGTTAGTGTTAAAAATAAAGTCTTATATCAGATGAAAAAGAAATTTGTACTCYACCTAATTTTCCTTCATAAATAATTCTTTAATATTGTTAGATCTCATATCACTTTTTAATCATGTTGATGTCTCTCATAATGAATAGAAGTAATATTCATATGGTACGACTATCACTATATTATTTTTTGAAATCGTTAACAAAAAATAGATAGATTTTTTTTAAAATCCCTTAATTTTATGATTCGTTTCAAAACTTTCAATATGTTGTTGGGCCTTTCATATAAACATTTCAAAAATACCTTTTGAACAAACATCTATTAATATTTTGAACATAAAGTTTTTTTTAGTACAACTTTTGAACCGAAAGTTGACATAGTAAAATTTGAAACGACATGACAATTAAGATGAAAGGTTCTTCCACATTTACTTTTCGTTCACCTACTTAATTTTACCCTAAAAATTTCTTCATCCATTGTGAACTACCAAATTTTGCCCTAATTCTTTTTTAAAAATGATAGTTTCTTCAACATTTCCTCTTTTTTCAAACTCAATCAAGACAAGTTTACACGTTAATTGTCACGTCGTTTTAGATTCTGCTACGTTAACTTTCCATTCAAAAGATTATCATATCTTTACTTTTTAGGAAAATTTATGGATAGTATTGGAACGTTTAAAAGGATAGAGATATTTTTTAAACAAGGGTAGAGTTTAAAGGTAATTTTTAAAATCAAATGCAAATATTACCTTTACCACATTAGCTTTTCCATTAAATATGAATAAAACAAAAGTTTAACCATCAAATGGGACAAAATGTAAGTTTCAAAGTGTGCAGTTTTTTGGTTAAAAAAAAGTGAAACATTTGCAAGATATTATTAGCCATTTCATCTAATTATAATATTTCAACTTTATGGGATAAAGGAAAATCATTTGGGCAATTTATCCTCAATTTACTCAATTTAAAAAACAACCATTTGGCAAACTTCTTAGAGTAGATTGTCAAAATCAAAGGAAATCTTCAAAAAATTGCAGCATTTTGATTGATTACATCAACAGCAGAAGACATCTTAGGATGAAAGTTGAATCACAACCTATTTCTATTCTTCCTTAAATTATGACTAACCAAGCAAGCTCAAGCTTTTTTTACTCCAAAATCATGAGCCTACTTGGTAAGCCACTTCTTTTTTCTTTTTTCAAAATTATTCTCAACCACAACGGCTATGCTGTGCTATGCTTATGATTCATCTGTCATTCCAAGCTGCAATCTTGACTCATAAATGGATGTAGCCCTCAACTATTGGGGTTGGGGCCTCGAAACATCGAACGATGAGTTGATGTAGCTTCAAGACCGAACCTCGGAAGGCTTCATATTCGCACCATCCATTTCAAAGCTGTGGAGAAAAACAAACCAACTTGGAAATGTAACTATCAAGACAGGGACGACTGACATGCCAATTCCTTGGATAGCAGATAGGTGAAGGTGAAGTTGTGAGGTATCCGCTCAATACTCTTCCACATCTTCTTCTGTTGCTGCTGCTGAATGTCGTTTATCCGCCCCTTGGGCCTTAAATGCTCCACAATGTCCTCCAAATCTTCCAGGCATAATCCTGAGTCCTTGGCAAAAGACTCTACAAGCTTTGGGAGGAGAATCCTCTGCCCTTTGTGTGTCCTCAAATTTGAAAGGATGTAGTCTTCTTTTGCAACCTCCAGCTCCTCATTCACCCTCTTGGCCGTATAGATTCGAACCTGCGTAAAACGACAAGCAGCAAGTTCAAAACCGTCCTGAAACTGGTTTCAGCTAGAAGCTTGGATTGACTTCAGTACTAGAATGTTTTAACATAGTTAAATGTACCGCAGGGTCAGAATGGCTTCCGCAACATAGAGCAAAGTACAACCGAGGTTCGGGGTGGTTGATCGCAAAGGATTTCCGAGCATCGTTAACTTTAAATTTTGTTTTCGAAGAGAGGAACAGGTGCAGCCACTAATCAAGCAGCAAATCAGTCAGATATTGAATGAACTGACATTGATGATACAAATTCAGATAACAGAAACATAATTCCGAGATTATAATAACCTGTCCCGAACGAGGCAAGTGGCACCCGAGAATTGAGCTTTGTATCATATCTACACTTATTATGTGACCTCCAACATTATATGCAGCCTTGAAAGTGGAGCAGCTAATGAGAAAGAAGTATTTATGCCATCTTATTTTGGTTGATTGAAAGAACAGAAGATCCTCACCTTGAGTATCAAAGATGTTCTCTTCAAACTATTTTTGGGAATCCCATACTGCAAATATGCCTGTGGAACATAATAAACATTTACTTGTAAGCTTTATGATGTTATCAAATGAAAAATTATATATAATTTATGCTAAGTTTAGAACTTACATGCATAACAAGTGTGTTGTGTACATTAATCCAAAACGCGAGCTTTTCTTCATGTTTCATCGCTTTGAGATCAACTTCTTTGAGCCGATAAATAAGAGACCTGAAAACAAGGCAAGTGGAGATTTCAATAAACAATAAAGAGGATATCAAAGCCATGGCATAAGAAACAGATTGGTTTCTTTGAATTAGGAGTCACCTAAAGCCTTGGAGCATGTGGTTGATATCTGAGTCCTTCTTTCTCTCTCTAGAAATCCATTGCACCTTCAACATTGTGCAGTATGGAACACTAAATTCTTCGATGTGAAACGGGTTACCGAAATTAGAGTTGAACGATTTCTCGTAGTTCCTCATGCTCCCCAAGTGATCTTGTGAAGAAAGCTCACACATCGATGACAATGGTGAGATTGGAGAAGGATTGTTATGATTATTCATCAAAGGAGGTTGAGCAAGTTCACAGTATATTAAAGAGATGGACTTGATCATCTCCTCGGAAATCCAGTTCGGCGACTTGGGTGCTCTTTCAGGTACATGGGCTCCGAAATGCTCCCCGAGGCTCATAGAATTTGAAGCATCACTCTGAGATTGCTGAACAAACAATGTGAGATACCCTAATGAGAAAGAGATGCATATTCTAAGTTCCATCTTGTCCAAGATGTATCAAGATCAAGTTAGTTACCTCCAGCATTGATAATGGAAGGGAATGGTATGAATCTACTGCTTTGGCCACAGACTTTGACAGAGGGTAGTTTGTAGATGAACCGGGTGATCGCCGCAAAAGAGATGAATAACTACGATGCAAGTGTGACAGCTTCTCAGGTTCCTCGACTTCATTTCTTCCTTTTGATTGATTGCCAAATGAAGTTTGAGGTGACACGATATGGTCGGAATGAATGAAAGAATGTTTGTGTTCTCCCTCTATCACAAAAAGAGGCCCAGAATAGGATTCAAGTCTATCATCCATGGTTGAAGAAGAGGACACTTGTTGCTTGAATGTTCTACGGTATAACGACAGAAGATACTTTTCCAAGTAAACGACTTCTAACTCCAAGACCGCGATTTGCTTAATCAGTTCCATTGCAGCCTGAAATCGATGAGAACTAGTAAGACTGTGCACACATCACCTTGAAGCATTTGATGGAACAACAAAATGAATTGGTCAAGCATATGAGTACTCTCAAGGATCCACATACAACAATACAACCAGATAAGATTACAGGAATCAGTAGGAAGTTTGGCAGGAAGTTACCTTTGGGATCGAGCTTTCGGTTGCCGAATCAAGTGAGGGAGGCTGAAAGTTTATTGCCTTCTCCAAGGCGTGGCGAATGACAAATTGGCTCTGTAGTTGTTCTTGAAGCTGTTGAATCTGCAGAAAAAGAGCAAACAACATGTTCTAAATACAAGAATAACTTGCAGAATATAAAAGAACAAGTCCGATCTGACCTAGAAATTTGATTGAGAATGTGTCTGGTTACATGTCAAAAATATAAAAGATCTTGGAGTGTTTGGTTACATATCAAAAATTATCTCCAAAGATGTTGAAATGCATACAAGCACTTTAATAAGGCAATTGGGATTAGTCTTTCTATCACAAGTGTTAGCAAAACCATTTCGCTTAAAAACATTACTCCTAAATAATCCATGATGCAGGCACAGACGTGTTTTAAATACTAAAGTATAGGCTATAGGAATATCGAAAACGAGCTCGATCCAACCCTGAAGTTCAATTGAGAATGTGTTTGGCTACATATCAAAAGCACTTTTCAAAATTATCATAGTTTTCAGTCACATATCAAGAAAGTATTTCCAAAGACTCAAAAACTGCTTCACACTTGGAATTAGTCTTTCTATCAAAAGTTCTAGCAACAAAACCATTTCACTTAAAGACATTACTCCAATTTCTTATCATTCTGATTCTTGGCAAGTAAACGGGGCCTTAACGAAACTTCTAGAAGACAGAGCCAATACAAGCTTAGTAGATTATTCAGACAACTGTTTTGACAAGTCCAAGGTTTCACCATACCTCCTGTTTCAATGAATTCTGAAGAACATGACTATCAGGGAGTTGCTTTTTCTTGGCTTCCAAATAGGCACCAGCGTGTTCCATTTCCTAAGATGAAAAAGAATCCATAAACACCTCCCCCCCTTTATACAGAATAAGCAGTAGAAAAACAGTAAATTTCAGTACTACAAAAACTTCATTACATAAAAGAGCTAATGTTTTCTATGAGAGTCAACCATGGCAGACAAGACACATAAAACAAATACGGTTCGAAGCTTCTTACAGAAGCATCGTATGTTCTTACCATTCCTTGTCGGTACGAAGCCATCAGAAGAGGAAGAAGGAAGAAGAGGAGGAAGCAGATGGGGTTTTTTCTCTCATTTCTTCAGAACCAATAAAACTTGCAACAAAGGAGAAGAAGAGTCTGATTCGACGATTGGGTTTTCCAAAAAGTTGCTTTCTAAGAACTTTTTTTTTTCCTTTTTTTGGGATTACAGAGACAAAAAAAAATGGGGTTCTTCCTTCTGAATCAATCTCAAAAACAAGCACTGAAACAGTATTAAATGCGGTACGACAATGGCTCCAGATATCGACAAGCGCCAAAACAGAGAAGCAGCATCACAAACGAAACGTCCAAAGCAAATTAATGTTGAGAGAATAATGAACACTGTTGGCAAAAAACCAGAAATCTACTGTGGTGGAGCGAGACTGCTCAAAGGAGACAAATCAATCAAATGGGGTTTACTTTGATTTATATGATTCAAATCAAGAAAGATAAAAATTGGGTTTTTTTTTTTCAACGTTTGAAGGATACGAATGGTTGAGTTTAAAACATTTTTTGGTTTTGGTTTTTGAGAACAATGATCAGTCACTTGTAAAGATTAAAACTTTGATACCTTGAAATCACCCCTTTCATCACAAGTCAAAATAACATATAAACCCATTTTTAAAGGAGGGTGAATCAAACATATTTTTACGAACATTGCGGTATTCAACCCACCACTAAATTTTTGACAAATTAGAGGGAGGAACATAATAATAATAACAAAGGTATTGGTTGGTTACGATTTGACAAGGATCGAATACTTGGTCGAATGTCCAGTACAATAGATAGCAGGAGTTTTTGTTTTGACTCCCGATGGATCTTCAACTCCAAGAACTCCAAAGCCATACTCTAACTCGCTTCCATTACTCGATGAGATGATGGAAATTCCTTGCACGTAATTAAGAAAGCCATTGAAATATGATTGAAACACTAAACAACCACCATCCAAAGCGACTTTTTCTTTTGTTTAAGGAAAAAAAAAAACTAAATTGTGGGTATAAGTATTTGTTGGAAAGGAAACAAATAACTCTACTAAACAATCTTTTTTATACTATTAAGCTAACTTTTTTTTGTCCATATTGATATCTTTTTAGTTCATATTTCTATAGATTCTTGTTTTTGATATAAATGGGGGTATGAATCTTCATTTTTGAAGTGGCAAAACAAGAACAAGAAGGTGATGGGTGAAGGAAAAGACCAAAAAACAGGACAAAAAACATAAAAGATGTCCAGTTTTATTGGTCCGAGTAGTCCCTTGTCTTAGAAAGGCACATTAGCTTTGGCCTTGAAGCTTTTTGCATTGCATTAAAAGAAGGAAACCAGTTGGTGGATTTTTTCCTTTTTCTTTTTTTTTTTTTTCTTTTTTGGATGAGAAGTTGAAAGGTAAATCTTACAAGCAACAACAAAGTGACAAGATAAAAGGGAAAACAGCAAGCTGACTTGGACAAATCATTCAAATTTTAGTCATTTTAATCTCTTTTTCTTTGTTATTTATTTGTAAAATACAAAGCCAAAATTGAGCCAGTTTGAGCTGGCTTTCTTTTTACACATTGGTAGCTGTGTGTAACAGCTCCTTTCCATAAAGATAAGCATCATATATAACTCAAACATGTTCTTCGAGACGTTTGACTTGTGATTTTAATAAGGTCGAGGTCCTGTAATATGTTGTTCGAAAGGTAATTTGTATTTGGTACGTGAGTTCATGATGTGGAAGATAAAGGTATATTTTAAGATTGGATTTGCATAACTTTGTAGTTTGTGGGATTAATAATCTAATAGCGAAAAATAAACAAATTCATATATCAAAAATTAGGCTCAACTTTTTAAACTCAATTACATAAATTTAACATGTGATTCAAATACCTTTCTAAGAATTATTTGTCTTTTTAGGAGGATTCAAAATTTTAAAAGTAAGAATGCTTGAGAATTCGGATGCTTAAGTATAGCCAACCCTCCAAATGTATGGAGACCGAACCTTCACCTCGAATAATGAGATAGGTGTCTCATCCACTAAGCTATACACTAATTAATTCAAAATTTATAGTTCAATTTGCTAAAATTAAAAGTTTAAGCTATCAACCTAAGCATAAAAGGATTAAGTATCGGGAACATTTTCATGCCTACAAAAGATAAGATTTCCACCACTCTAGTCCTAGTCTTATACTCTTTATAGCTCAATCTGATTAAAAGATTATGAGTTCGAATTTGATATTGTTGTTTGCAAAAAAAATAAAATTAAAAGGGTAAAAAGTGAATTTTTGTCGTATTATTTTCAAAGAAAGAAAACTGAAAGTAATAATTTGGTGTAGGTTAGGCATTTTTTTGACTTGGCGTTTGAATTCAAATTATCTTTAATGATCTTCTTCTCCTGCATCGATCACATACAAACTTTTTTTTCAGAAGTGGGTGGCAATGGCAACAAGAAGAGAATAAATAACAAAAAATTTCTTCCACAAATCACAGCCAATAATTCATAAACGTAGAATATTTACAATTTTAGATTCTCAAACTTGCCAAAACTCAATCATAATTGGTATATATTTTTTGAGTTCGATCATCGATCTCACATGTTGTACTAAAAAAATACTTTGGTATTTATTACGAGGTTCTAAAAATCACGATCCATAAAGAAAAATTACATAGATTTCTGTCCGTAAAAAATACTCTATGAAATCAACCCAAGTTAAAATTAGATATACTGTTATCCTCCATTGGATAATGGTGGAGTGGCCAAGGCAACGGACTGTACATTGAAAAACAAAAGGAAAAAACCTCGAAAGGGCTGAAAGTTGAAAGCAAAACACTGCATTATTGCTAAGGCAAAATGGCCGATTTCCACTGCCTAATCGCCATCAAAGATGAAACACGTCCTTTTTTTTTTCCTTTTCTTTTTCTTACCACTTTTCCCGGAAAATTTTTTATTTGACCCTTTTTTGGGGATTGGGTTTTCCGTTCAGTTTCTAGTGAAAATTGCATGTGCTAGGGAAAACAGATTCACACCATTTTGTTGGAGTTAAGAACCGTTGTGATGGTTTAGTTGCGGAAGAAAATGTCCCGATGAACTTTTATTTCTTTCGAAAAAAAAAGTAGGTTACAATATATTAGAGTAAAATTGAAATTAAAAAGGATAAAACTTGGCTCCGACTTCGTCTTCACTACAATTAAATATTTGACAACTAATTATTTTTAAAAAAATATTTTTGTTTTTACGTTTCTCTCTCTTAGTTGTCAAATATTTAATGGTGGTAAGGACAAGGTTCAGCCAAGTTTTATCCAATTAAAAATAGTTGATTTAGAATGTGTTTAATGGGTGTATAAATTTTTAATTTTATATCTAATAGATAACTTTGAAAGTACTTAATAAGTCAAAATGAGCAATAATTTAGCGTTAATCGGCATATATGTCAAAGTAAGTTCGATTTCCACCCCACGTGTTATACTAAAAAAGAAAAAGTATCTAATTAAGATCCCTAAAGTTTTAATTTTGTGTCTAATAATTTCTTTTTTTTAATATTTATTAGATACAAAATTGAAACTTTACGATTTATTAGAGTTCATGAACATAGATATGAAATTGGAAGTTTATGATGTATTAAATACATTTTAAAGTTTTAAAGATTTATTAGATTAGATTTAATGTATAAACTTAAAAAAATACCAAAGATTAATTTTGCCTAATACACTTTTAAAGTTGATGAATATAGATAGGAAATTGGAAGTCTATGATGTATTAAATACATTTTAAAGTTTTAAAGATTTATTGGATTAGATTTAATGTATAATCTTAAAAAAATACCAAGTTGAATGGCTAAGAAAAAATAAAGAACAGTGACATTGTTCCAATCTTTTAATTTTGGAAAATATTGAAGTTTCACTGTTTTCATTTTTTTTTTAATTCCATTTGATAATATATAAATTATAATGAAATAAGTTAAACAATATTTTCAAGACTAAAAGGGTGCAACTTTAAGGATGAGCCCCATGAGGGTGAAAATGTCAAATAGGTTACAGCAGAAAGTTTCTCTGTTCAACAAACTTCTCTATATATTGAAACAATATTGAAACCATGGATCAAGGAAGAAGGATGATGGTGAACAACTTTAGCTAGAGCATCGGGTGCTATATTCAAAAATCTTTCTATATGCAGGTATGAAATTGTAAAGAAAAATTGAGGTCTCTAACCAAAAGAATCCCCTCTCGGATTGCAAGAAGCTCTGCTTTCAAATGGGCGGAGAAATTGATGGGTATACTTTCAGTCTTGATGACCACTAAATTTCTAAAAGAATTTCGAAAAATAAGTCCTATACTCGTACCTGTCACAAGAAACATCCATGTTCAGTTTTATTAAATTAGAAGGCGGAGGCTGCCAATATGATGGAGCGACCGTTTTGTAACATTCTTATTTCTCGTATCCAAATTTCTAAAGAAATTTAAGCATTTTGCAACTAATTTTGTTTATTGTTTCTTATTATTTGTTCCAAAACATAAACAAAAAAAAAATGTTATATCATACTTGAATTCATTTATGTTTGAGCCGTGTAATTCATTTTTCTTAATGAAACATAAACAAGAAATAGAAATAGAAATGTTACCGAACGATCCTATGTTATTGTACTTGTGTGAAGTCTTTAGTATACTTGAAAATCCACCCACTGATCTCAAGTAAGAAATAAGTTAAAACAATTATTGATTTTAGCTAAAATAAAAAAGAAAGAAAAAACAAATATATATATATAATGCATACTTATAATTATTTTATTAATAATTAAATTTATAACCTGCCTATTAAAACTATTTTTCCTATTAAGACCAATAAAATTTAATGTTATAAAAATATATTGACTAATGAATTATAAAAAATTAAAAAATTAAATGATTAAAATAGTATTTAAACCAGAAACAAAACCATGAAATTTCGCACAGAAACAAATTAGAAGTCTGCAGTGGCAGTGTTTAGATTTCACAAATCGATGAGATTATTGCTAATTAAGATTCTTAGAAAGAAATATATATTCTTTTTATTTTCTTTCTCGAGAAAGTCAGCCACCAAGGCACCAACTTCAATTTTTTTTTTCCCGAGAAACAAACAGACATACTTGAATTATCTGATAGGACAAGAAAAATAAATGGACAGAACACGAACTCATTAGAAAAATCAGTGCAATGTGAGAGCTAAGCTAACTTCAATAATAATTACAAGATTAAAATAATCAAAAAAAGAAACAAGATGCTTTTAGTTTTCATTAATTAATCTTGGAAATTCATTGACGTTTGTGAAGCATCCAATCCTTTTTAATTGAAAACAATTTCAATTATTTCAATGATTGATTTATCGTTTTCGTATGGTAAAAAAATTTAGTAGGATAATTTTAAAAAGAAAAGGGAAAAAAGAAGTTAAAATAAAATATATGTATCAATTTATAAATTTGAATACTTCACTTCCTCAATTGAATTATTTCTAAAAAAATAAAATTTTATTTTTAAGTATCGATCAAGTGACATGTGAATAGTGGTAATGGAAAATTTTAATAGGAATACCAATTTTAAATTATTATTTATTACCTGTGAGAGTTGAAATTATTCCACCTTTTGGTGAGGAAATTATTTATTACATGTTTATTGTCAATCTCTTATTTGGTCCTTTTTATATTTATAATAACAACCTGTATAAAATAAAAAAGGAACTACAAAATTGTTTTACCAAAAAATTTAAATTTTCACATTGAAATCCTAAAAAAAAAAAGAAGGTTTGCTAGTAATAAAGACTTGTTAATTGAAGAAACGTAATCCATAGACCAAGAACAAAAATATATATTTAATCAAATAATTTTGTATTTTTCCATTCTTAAATTTTTTCTATTTTGTTCTTATACTTTTGATTTTAGTTAATATTTATTTTGGCTCGTATTGTCAACATTTATTTATTTTAATCCATATACTTTTGAAACGTGTTGAGGAGGGGATTCGAACAAAGACACGCCGATTTGAAAATTGAATTTCAATTTGGACACACCCGATGGGACTCGAACCCACAATCGCTTGATTAGAAGTCAGACACCTTATCCATTAGGCCACGAGTGCTTCTTTTTCTAATCACTATCAATTTTAATTTAATTTCTATATTTCTAAAAATTTTCATATAATTAATTCATATGGTTTAGCTGTATACTTCACACGTTGTTCAATTTATTACCATATTATATATGTGACACTTATTTTTTTAATTAAATTGTACCGATCTCGCAAATCATCCAAATTATCTTACTAACATGAAAATTCACTCATTATCCTTTTTCTTATTTAACCCTAAACTCTAATACAACCGACTAATATAGTCAATAAATTCCAAGGACTAAATTAAAGCTTTAAAAATCGATTAAAAGCCAGACGTCTTATCCATTAGGCCAAGAATGCTCGTTGATTTGAAAATCATAAAAACTAAGAATGAGTTTGGTTAATGATTTGAAAACAGGGATTCAATGGAAACATTGTTGTATTCCTTTTTTCCAAATATGTTTCGGAGTAGATTTGAAAATTGAATCTCAATTTAAAATAGACAAATTTAATATGTTTTGATAATATATTAGTAAGTCATTGGTTACCAACTAAATGTTTAGTTTGATCTAAAATATTATTAATTTATTTATTAACGTTAATGTTATAAATTTTATTAGAATTGGTATTTTACAATATTATATAAATTATAATCTATTATATTTCACTGGTTTTAATTTTAACATAAATGAAATGAGTTTATAACATGAAATAACGTATTTCTCAAAGTTTTTATCTGATGGATTCAAAATCCAAAAATACTGAAAACGTAAAAAAAAAAATTTATTTTTAGAATTCCAACTATTTGACAGAATCTGAAAACAATTTTCGAAAACAATCCTGCATTCCTTAAATTCATTTGATTTAGTGAATCTGAAAATAAATTTAGAAGAAAATGATAAAAATAAAATTCCTAAATTTAAACACTCTCAAAAGATTATAGGAGTCAAATAAAAGAATTATAATAGAAGTGAGAGAGAGGGCGAGGGAGGAAAAAGAAAAAAAAGGAGACAAGAAAATGGTAAAAATAAAATTCCCAAAATTTAGAAGATTACAAGTCATATAAAAGAAATGAGAGAGGGCGAGGAAAAGAATAATAAAAAAGGGACAAAAGAAACACGCCCGGTGGGATTCGAACCCACAATCAAGCGCCTTATCCATTAGGCCACGAGCGCTTGTTGTTTTTTTAGATGTTTTTAAATTATATTTAATCTCTTTCTCTTTTGATTCGTGACAAATTTTCAAGTTAAAGAGGCAAAAATGGCCCATGCAGGTTTCGAACCTGCGACCTTCGCGTTATTAGCACGACGCTCTAACCAACTGAGCTAATAGGCCAATTGATAATTTGTTTTATTTTGTATTTTTTTGTACAATTTCTAAA